TTGCAAAATTGTCATTGTTAAAATTTTTTTTTATTTTATGTTTGTAATTCAGAATCATTAAGCACTGAACACACATTTTTGTTTTAATTTGATCTGTATGATTCTTTATATTGATTTTAGATGCATTTTTATATCCTATTTTACTGTTTTCACTTTTGCTTAGAATTCCCTTCTCTTGGGTTAAAACATTTTGGTTATTACTGCTTTGTTCTCTCCTTACTATTAAAAGATATGAAATTTTCCTCAATATATATGGGAAAAATCAAAGAAAACGTAATAAACAGAAAATTCAACGTTTTTTTTTAACTGGATATGGAATTTATTTCACGAGTGGGACAGGATTTTTTGATATTTTCACTCGTGCTTTGCACTCGCTAAAATATCAAAAAATTCCTGTCCCACTTGTGAAATAAATTTCATTTCCAACATTAAAACATTTAACATCCTATATATTTAATTTGCAAGTGAAAAAATAAAATTTGGGATAAGGTTATTGGCCCCGTTTAGTTCCACAAAACCCTCTCAATGCTGATTAGGGATATACCTTTGATCCCCTACCCTTCCACACTGTTTGTTCTGGTGTCCAATGATGGCGAAAGGATAAATTCTTGAAATATGCCACCACCCAAAGCTCCACTAGATAATACTTTTACAGTCCAAATCTGACAGCAGAAAATGAGAGCCCTATGAGCCCCTGCTCTGTCCAGTTATGATTTGATGCACGCACACTTAAAAAATAAGGGGGGGGGTAATAGCCGAAAAATAAAAGCTTCTAACTAAGCAAGTGAAAAATTTGACACATTTGAGATTAGCTCATTGGCCCTGGTAAGTCCCATTGAACTCTCCAATAGCTCCTTTTAATTCTCTACCAATTTTCAGTGATCTTTTGTTCTGGAATCTAGGAATGGAGTAGAAATTATGCCTCCACTTAAAGCACCACTTTGTGGTACTCCTTCAGACCAAGTCTGACAGCAGGAAATTATAACCCAGTGGTCTCTCTACAATGCCCCAGTAATGATTAGTTTGATGTACAGTTCAAAGATAAGAGGGATACACTTATAAGAAATACTTCCGAAGATCCCTACACTTCCACAGTTTTGATTTGTTCTGGTGTCCAAAGATGGAAGAAATAAAATTCTTTGAATAGAGCGTTGCTATGGAAATTATTAAATTAAAATTATTTATAAAAAGCTGGAAAAAAAAATTGTCTCCTTGGATACATGCCATTTTTTATGTGAATTCCGGAAACTTTTATGGGTGATATTTATGAATAGCTAAGTAAACTTGACTTTGAAGACGAAAACGTAGCAACAAATTTTATATGACTACACCGTGTTACCATGGAAATCATGAAAGTTATTTTTAGAATAATATTGCAATACCTAATTACTTAATATCACATATTTTTATTGTTTTTTCTTGTGAATAATGCGTTTTTCAGCATTTTTCAGTATTTAAAATGTATTCCAAATGTACTCATGGTACCACTTACTTACAGATAAATTCTTCATAGTTTCTTTATAGTATAAATTGCATCAAGGTGTCCTGTTTTTGTGAGAATGGTTTATTTGATTATCTTAATCTTTATTAAAGATTCAAAGAAGCTGAAGATCTCAATTTTTCAAACATGTCTGACTGTTCCCATGACAACCAAGACACATAGCAACCAAATTTTATTTGATGATTCTGGTATCAAGTTGTAATAATTGGCAAAATTTCATCATAACTTTGTGGCAAAAAGTTTAAGTGATTACAGGGAACAGTTCTAAATTTTTAGAGAAAATTTTTTCTATTTTTTGTTGAGGTTGCAAAAACATTCACTAAATTAGGTTCATTAAGGAATTGATCAATTCAGAATAAAATAATCATCATTTTGTTTCTTCTAATGCTAGGCAGGTTCATCTGAAACTTAAAATATAGAAGACTATTGTCTTTAATTAAAATGATTTCTAGATGAAAAAAATGCACACACGGAAGGTATCAGACTCAAAAGCTCTAATGTAATCTCCCTCAAGAAAATGACGAGAGAGACTTACCCATAAAACAAGAAAATCAAAATTTCAAATAAAAAGAAACGCAAAAATTTACAAATCAAAACAAAACTAGCCACAAAATAACATCTGTGCCATCATCATTCATACAGTTTCTTCTGAAGTTTAATATCATATTTAACTTGTTGAAGAATGTTTCTATGGGGAAGTTAACATATTCTATGAATGGTTTTTTTTAAAGATTCATTTTTATTTTAAGATATATTTATTAAATGCAACAAGCTTGTGGAAATTTAGACGCAAACCTTTTTTAAAAAAGAAAAAAAAAGAGTCGTTTTTAATTTTCATAGACATGGTCTTAAGTAATAGTTGTCGGTGTCAATACATTCAAGAAAGTTGACGCATATTCGGTTTTAAACAAAGAAAAAAACTTCCTCTAAACATTTTAATGGATTTATCTATCATTCTATAAAGTTTATTTTCAAAGAAAAATACTTTTTAAAATTTTGTACAGCAAATCATCATTTACCAGTAGAAACTGGGAAAATACCACTTTGCAAAAGATATGGTACATTGTATTATAATGCTCGAAGTGCTCGTGGCTGGTATAACCGGTCAACAGAGGATGCTTACTCACAGATTTGTATTGCTTGTAGTTTTCTTTTAGATCGATCGATGTTCGTTATCTTCATCCTTTTCTTTATAAAGCAAATTAATTTCTCGATTGGTAGCTGCATAAAGTAGCTAGGCAGAAATTTGATTATTATACCCGCACTTTCTGAAGAAATTTCGGGAATATTTCTGTTATTTTGGTCCGTCCGTCACACTTTCTTCTTCATGCAATTTCTCTTACAATTTAAGTAGTAACCCACTAATATTTTTGAAATATAATACGTGTCCTGTAGATGTGCAATAAGGTTTCAGAGTTTTCATTTTCACTCTTGGGGTCCAATGACGGTCGAAAAACGATTTTTCCCTCCACAGAAACCTGGTTCACAGTATTCCTCTTACATTCAATACAGTAGCCATATAATCTTTTACAGGGTGATTGACAGTGTTCTGTAGTTATGCAATAAGGTTTTGGAATTTTCATTTTCACCCTGGGGGCAACATGGGGGTAAAAACTCCGATGTTTTTCATGTTTAGTGAATTAGAGAAACTTTTATTTTCGTGAATATAGTGAAAATTTACGATGCAACTTAATTTCCTAATATTCAGTATAAAATACATCTTATGTAAACTTATATTATGAACTAAACATCTTATAACTATGGATGATACGTTTGACTGATGCTTATTAAAAAAAAATTTAAAACGGGATGTAAAAATGGGTTGGTCATGTGATTAAATCCCACAAGGGCTTCTGGTAGAGTTGATCACGTATTAACATATTAATATCCCAATAAATGTTTAAAATTGATAACCTATTACTTTTATTTATATTCGAGACTGATTTATTACAAATATTTGCGTACTATAGTTTTAAACCCACCAAATGATTTATTTTTCAAAAATCAACGTGAGGGATCGAATGTTCCGATCACGTTAATCACTTTTAAAGTCACTGTGAAATTACACCTAATTACAACCTGATTTTATAAAAATTTAAGTACGCATTGTTCACAGAGAGTTATATTTCAGTGAAACATTTGCAAATCTAAATACGTGTATATATCAAGTTACAAGTTAGAGATAATTTGATTAGAATACACATTCTAGGTCGATGTTTCAAAATCAAGGCAAATCCTTGAATATTTTATACAATGGATCATATATAATATTACGCTTTCTTAAAACACCCGGTTTATATCCCAATTTCTTCCATAAACTCCGAATTTACATTTTTATTTTTAATTACTTTTGTCAAGAGGAGAAATTGTATTGAATGCTTCAGCTTACCACACAACTTTACTTTTAACACTGCAAGTGGCTTGGCAGAAAAAAAAGAGTTTGTTTATTTAAACATGAAAAGAAGGCCAAAAAGTATTACTTTTCTTCGGTAAGGCCGCAAATTCATTGACTTTAGGGTCCCATGAGAATCATATCAATTCATAATAAAGATAAAGATCTTAATTAATTCCTTTCTGAAGAGTACTGTATGTTAGGAAGTTTCGCATTCTTTTAAATTTAAGATGTAGAATGTAGAATTATATAATATATTAGAGATTTTTTTGCAATTCGGTTTAAAAATTTCGAAATATATCAGGTTTTTGAAAATTTCGTCAGAAATCCTTTTTTAAAGGAAATAAAAGTCTCTTTAAACAAGTTTTGTGTACGGAACAAGGTCTTACGTAATGGTTGTTACTCTCAAAACATACAAGAGGGTTGTCATACAATTAATTCCATAAAATGATAAATTAATGCTCTCAAAACATTTTAAGGGATTTCTTTCAATTCTGTAAAGTTCTTTTTCCTGCAATAGGAAAATGAGAAAAAAGATTTTCGATTAATGACATCCAATTAAACATTGAGCTTTCAGAAAGTTCTTGTTGCTTTGAGAAACCTTTCCTTTCTCAAATAAATAAAATTACATTTGTGCAACATTCCAAATGTTTGCAATTTTTTTTACAAGAGGAATCGTTAGTTTATATTTTCTTGTTTCCCCATGTGCAATCACAACAGTGGTTGTGAACACATTATGGTTTTAAAGTACTGATGTGAACAATATCTATCTGCTGTGCAGTAGTTATCTACAAAGAATGTTTAATTTAAGTGGATTATATACAGAGTATAACCACATTTGCACCACACAGTTAATTTTATGATATTATGATAAAATACATGTACACATATAACATAGGAATCATTTCATAATTAATAAAATACTATAAAATAAACTTATTATAAAGTTTATCTTTGTGTTTTAACATTTTTGCTTTATAAACTTTGAATTTCAAAAGATGCAAATTTTATATCAAGGTATCTCATACACAATTATGTTTTTATATTACGATAAGAATTAATCCTAAATAATGAACATTTTTCCAGAAGATGAATGTACTTCCAATCATTCGCTGTATAGAAAACAATTTAATAAAAACATAATGTTCAGCTATTGGAAATAATAAACAAGGTTTTAATGGACATTTACATCATCTCTATGATATACCCAGATATTCAACCAAACAGGCGTGGTTATTACAGCAAAATATCTCCCCATTTGTAAAAGTTGTCTTTTCAAAGTCACAGTCCACTGTCTGAAAAGGATAAACTGTTTATTATTTTCTTTATAGTTAATAGACAATAGCTTTACAAAAAGAAAGAAGAATATTAATTACATCCGAAAAAAAAAATGAATTGTTAATGAAAATACATCCGCCTCCAAGAGTTTGTTATAAGTGTATACTTAAACACTTGACCATCAAAATATTAACAGTTTTTAAGCAAGCAGATTTTCAAAATGCCAGTACGATTGGCATATCATACCGACCCACCTTGGAACAATGTACTGTGAATTTTGCATTCGAATACTGCCTTATCATGCAGGTCTCCGTTATGTCACATGTATTGTTCCATGTGCAATTTAAACTTTCATCACAGGTTGGACAATCGGGACCAACTGTAAGTTGAAATTAATTTAATATCAAAATTTAAATGTATCATGCATTCAAGCATAGACATATAAAGGCAAACATACATGATATTCTCACATTGTCATCATAACTATAAAGATATTTACAGTAAAAAAGATAATTTTAGTTTTAAAAACTAAATTACACTAAATTAAATCTATACATTCTCATATGTTGTGATGTACATATTTGGTGTATCTTGATGTTAAACAAAATTTGAACCTCCATTTATTGAGACAAATATTGTGAAGTAAAGATAATGTATACCTGGACATGGAGTAACATTGCAAGCTGATATCTCATTATGCGCACCAGTGCACGGTTTCCCGTTGACTGGTGCAGGTTTGTCACAATGGCGGATACGTTGTCGAGCGCTGAAATTTCCACAGGTGTCAGTGCAAGAGGACCATGCTCCCCAGCTTGACCAACTTCCATCAACAACTGTGAGGTTTTATTCAAAATAAGTATGAATTTGTGGTAAAAAGAGTCACTTTCTTTAATTTAATCAATTTCGTATTTTTATTATGTTCTTTCTGGTCAACTCCTGGATTTATTTTTCTCTCCCAAAGCATTTGTATTCAAAGTTACGACTGACCATATCCATACCTTATTATTACTCTCTTTTATTTAAAAATCACAATTTTATCAAACTACTGTGTGTGCTTTTAGTTAACAATTCATTAAATGAATTCATTTCAAAATATTGACAAAAAAGACAGACTTTTGTCAGGTAATTGTTTACCATTACAAGTGCCTGTACAAGTACTCGATTCAGTCTCGTTTCCAGGACATTGACTTCCTCCATATTTTGGCACTGGATTGGAACAATGTCGTCTGCGTATCTCAATACCTGTTCCACAAGTTACACTGCATGTAGTCCAGGCCTCCCAGTTGCTCCAGCCACCGTCAACTAAGGAGAAATTAAAGAATTCTTACAAGAAATTAAACGTCAATAGATAAAAATAATAATATATATGGAATTTATTTTTAAAGTAGTCTTTCAAATTTCTAATATAATATTTCTGCATTGAAATACAAGTTCATAATTATTTTGCAAAGACCACCCGCACGCGCCTTCTCTTGTCTTAATGGACGTTAGCTTCATGCAAATCTGCTATTTTCTTTCACGACTTGACAAATCGCATCATGTCAGATTATGTCTACAAATTACACATAGCGCATAAATACATGTAAATTGTAATAAAACATGAAAACTTGCAATCTACCAATTGAGCTTTAAATGTTTGTATCTAATTACATTTAATTACAGAGTAGGAATTTTGAACCCTTTGATTTTCCATATCTCCTCCAGTATTGAGTATTTTTGTTTTTAATTATGTAATTGTTTTAATCTGAAAAGGACAGAGTACAAGAGAGAATAATTTGTAGCAAGGGCCATTTGTTACAAACACATCCACGTGATCTCATTCTTTTTCGGCACGAACTCGAACAAATTAAAATGACCACCTACCATTATAACCAAATTGACCATCCGCAGTCAATGTCACAAAAAGCACATGTTAACACCTATTCAAGCCATGCAATACAATTTCATCATTACATTTTTCCTTCAAAGAAGATGTCTTTAAATTAAAGAAGTTGGCACTCACTAGGGCAATGATCATGATGACAGAGAGTTCTCTCCTCATGAAATCCATGACATGGAGATCCTGATCCAGATGGCGCTGGGTTTGTACATGTGCGATGTCTTTGTTTAGTGCCGGTATCACATGTGACAGTGCAGTGACCCCATGCACTCCAACTGGCCCATCCACCATTTACTGCAAAAATTCTTACATCAGTTTTCTTAAAATTTTACAGAATAAAACTTGGCTTACGGTACCATGAAAAAACTAATGTGGAAAAAAATTTCTGCCGTTTGCGCAACTATCTCATTCTCTGTTAATTGTCAGTTTCACTTTTTTAAACCATAAATTCACAATGATAATTGCTTACTGCCAATCTCACATGTCACAACACAGTGACTACAGGCACTTTCTTAAATTCACAATTTTGACAGAAAAACTGTGTCGTGGGCTATCCTGTGTGGAATATTAGCCTCCAAATAACTTGGACTCGTATTTAATTGCTCATTTCTACCAGTAATTTTAAACTTGTACTAATAATGGGCCTTTACTGGTAAGAAAACAACACATAATCGGGTTCTACGCCATTTCAATAACAATTTATTGCTGCCAATGTGTCTTCGTGACAAATATATAACTCAAAACGTGCATTTAACATGTTTTTCTACAAGAGATCTTGATCTTACCCTTGTGACCCATGAATCAGAAAAAACCAAGCCTTTGAAGTCACGGTTAAGCATCCACTGCTGCACTAGTACTATTACAAAGTTGTTAGGTTCACATGATTTATATGGAAGTATTCAAAATATTTGCTTTGTACATCTTATTGTGATAATCCTACAGAAGGTTAAAGAAAGGGGGAGTTTCGATAAGGCCGCTTATCGGCCCACTTATTTTCATAAAAATAAATTTCGTTTTATTTTTTGAAAATTGGTTTAGAATTCAAGATATATATGTTAATTTTTGTTATTTATATTTCAAGAGTTTATATGAGATGAATTCACGCCGTAGTTGGCACATTCTTAGATGTACCCTCAAATGCTTTAACATTAGGCTAATGGGAAAATATAAGGGGGTGGCATATATTATTCGATGGTTAGAATATGAAGTGCATGAGGGACACTCACCTAGTTTTGTTCAGTAATTAGATATACTCTGCACACTTATATCTTAAAATATGATGAGTGTCGTGTGTGCACTTCATATCCAAAAATTGAAAATTGTCTAAAATTTGCATATCTAAAATTAGAAGCTCCTGGTTACTTGATCTTACGCCGTGTTAAAATACAAAGCCAAAAGTAGCATATTTTTTCTAAACCAAAGAGAACTCTAGAAAATATTAACATTAGAAAACATAATCGTATCCTATAGTTATTTCCATACTTATTTCGTCGCCCGCGTATAACGTTAACGTCACATATTTAGCTCACCTACACGAAGTTGGGGAGCTTTTGTAATACCATCGTTATAGGCGTTCCAGGTTATTAAAAGTTTTTTATCAATTTTTTCATATCATCAGAGTCGCCTGATCCAGTGTGTTTTCTTGTCATCTGTCGTGTTTCAGATGCTGCATTTTCAGTTAAAGAATGTCCAGGTTAATGTTTTTAAAGCATGCAGGTTAATGTTTATGGAGCAGTGCAGCTATAAGCACTTGTTGAGAAGACGTGCTTCATGATGCATCTTTGGATGCACACTGTCAGACTTGCTTCAGATGCTAGATCTGACTTACATTTTCTTGATGAATGCTCAGGGTATATATTTTGGAGCATGTCTTATTTTCATGTAATTATAATCCCTATCTTGAAGAAATATGCACCGATGATGCATTTAGGGTTACACATTACCAGAACTGTAACAGATGCCGAATCTTACATTTTTCCCGAATGACTGACTGAACTAAAGAGAAGTTTGAGGATTAGTCCATTCATTAACGTTCTTTATCAAGGATATGGTTATAGCCATTCCTTTGAATAGAAACTCTCTTCGCTTAAATCTGTTAGAGAATTAACATATATTTCCGTGTGGTCTACATGTATGGAACGTAGATTACTTTTAAGACTGGATGTTGATTTGTACGTTTCTGCAGGATATGATTTAACTCATACATTTGGTATTTACAAATGTATTTTAAATTGCGGCTATGGTCTAGCAAATCAAATAGTGACTAAAGTTGGTGAAACAACATAAGCATCAAAAGGAAGTTGGGAAGCGCAAGGAATTACATGTAGGTCCTCGCTTGCCTGAATTGTCTCATTTTTGCTGAAAACATAATGCACCTCTTTATGTGCGTAAATACTTTTAAGTTTAAGAATGAATAGAAGACATGCACTCAATGTATTTTAGTTTTTTTTATCATTTGGCTATTTATTCACGCATTCTGTAAGCACTGCATTAGCAATAATAGTCCACTATCGGCACACCAAGTATAACCTGGTTTCCATTAAAAATTGAAAATATCCTATTTGAAAAATCATTGAAGCGGAAGAAAATGCCAACTTGATCTATAACTCATATACCAAAACAAAAATTAGCTGAATATATGCGATTTTTATTATTTAGAAAAAACAAAACAAAACGAAAAACACCGAACCCCCCTTCTTTTAAATTTGTAATGTTCCGTCAAAAATCATTGAAGCAGAATTTAACGAAATTCAAACTTGAATTTCAAACTCTGTTTCTCATCAGGATACACTATAAATACCAAAGCCAGCTCAATATCTGCAAGCGTTAAGAGAAAAGTGCGAAAAACTAAGTGAAACAGACTGACAGATAGACAGAGGGACGGACGGACAAGGGACAGACGATGAGGAAACCTATAGACCCCTCCGGCTTCATCGGTATGGGACTAATAATTACTATCTTGATAAATATTTTGACTGGTAGTAATACGCTTGGTATTATTAAATACAATGTACATTGCAGTATGATTCTTTTAAATATACTTTAAAAATATAAATAGCTGCATTTTTTAATCGTACCGAATTCCGAAATCTGTTAATTTCAAGATTTTTTTTAAAATTCAATTTAATGATATTACGGTACATTTTATTAATACTATTATTAGCGCAATAACTTTAGTTGTAAAAAATGTGTTGCAAACAGTGTCGAAAACCTGTCAATGACAGTTTACGTTTATCTATCTCTTGTCTATATATCTTTACATTTGCTTTTCTACGTACGGGAAAATGTTATATATTGATTATTAAGTCTAAGTATAAACTGTCGATTAATTCATTTTTTGAAAATTCCTGTCTTTATTATTCATATACGTTTTATATGTTACATTCATCCTCTTCGAAAGAAGAGTTACACTTGAAACACCAGAAAAATCTTGCACCTTAAAACGCATTCAAATAAAATAAATATCATTAATTTTCTGTAAAGAAAAATATTGAAATTGGTTATTTGATGCCTTTATTCACATTTGTAATATTTCACTTATGATTTTGACGTTGAATAAACTCCATTACCCCCTCTAAATATGACGCCTCCAAAAATCTAGGGAAGAGGGTATACTTAAATTTTTAATTATCAAGTGACCAGAAAATGTGCGGTAAAATTTTTTTTCATATTTTTAGGAAGATAACACTTTTATCTACAACATATCACAATTTCATTATATTTCTTGAGGGGCCGAAAAACAGCCTTATCGAAACTCCCCCTTTAAAAATGTTGAAGAACTACGCACACTAACTCTTGATTCCCACCTATATTTTACACCCATTTAACTCAATATTTATGGAATTTGGGCCATTAAAACTTAATTGAATGCAAAGAAGAGTTCATTAGTATTTGATTCATAATTTTAAAACCAGTGTCAAAGGGTTATTGCTTTTTTTACAACTGTTTTAATAAGGGGGAAAATTTTTATCCATTGAAACCAGGCTTTAAAGCATCACCAGATTTTCAAATATGCATGAAAATGGATTGATGACACTTAAATCTTTCCGTATGTTTAACGTACGTAAAATTCAAATCATTAGATTGGTAAAGTATATTTTTTGTAATCTCATTTGAAAATAGTAATAAAATGACCATTTTTGCTGTTTTTTTGGTCTGTAAACATATCCCCCCCCTTTGAAACAAAAAAAGCTTTGGTATGAAATTGTTTGTTTGTTTGTATGTAGTTTAACGTCCCTCTCGAGAATTTTTCCCTCATATGGAGACGCCACCACTCGCCGGTGGAGAGCTGCAAATCTTGTCTTATACTCGGCACTTACGGCCATTGAGTAGTGAGGGATCTTTTTCGTGCCAGCACCTACTGCGACACGGGACCTCGGTTTATACGGTCTCATCCGAATGACCGGTCTCCACGTCCCACAGTGGGATTCGAACCCGCGACGTAAGGATCAACTCCTTACTCCGCGACTCTAGAGCAGACGCTCTAACCACTACGCCACGCGAAATCGTAAGATAACAATTAATGATGCTTGTAAAAAGAAATTTTTGTTTCACGGGAGAAGGGATTTTTAAAAATATTTTCCGTTGATTGCTTTAGTGAAAACGCAAGTTTTACCAAAATTAAAGAATTATCCCTCTTCATTTTCCGAAATAAGTTATATTTTATGAAAATACACATAAATATCTCTATAAATTTGAAAAACTATTCAAATATGATAACTTTTGAAAATTGACTTGGAGGTAGGCGGCAAAACAATACTATCATTCGCAGTTCCTACAGAGTTGACACTAACCAGGACAATGACTAAGATGACAGTGAGTTGTCTCCTCATGGGATCCATGACACGGAGATCCTGATGCAGATGGCGCTGGGTTTGTACAAGTGCGATGTCTTTGTATTCTGCCAATCCCACATGTGACAGGGCAGTGACTCCATGCGCTCCATCTAGCCCATCCACCATTTACTGGAAAATATTCTTGTTTCAGTTTCCATATTCAATATAAAGGATAAAACTGGACTTACTGTTATAAAAAAAAATTATGAACTAAATGTTTATGGATGGTCAATGGAGGGTTAGGGAGATAAAAACTTCTGATCACTTGTCCTTCGTTTATTTCCTGTTTATTGTCAGTTATAATTTTTTGATTCTAAAATCACAATGTTATGATAATCATAAGTAATGTAAGATTATGTAAGAATATTGCATGTAAATACAACTTCTGCCGTAGACTTTCTTCAAATCACTCTGGATCGTGTCATGACAAAATACTCATGAACTCTCTTGTGTGGAAAATGAGCCTCCAAATACTGCTGCAAAGGTATTACTTGGATTCAATTTAGTTGCTTATCCCCAACAGTAGCTTTAAACTCATCCTATGGGACCTTAAGGTCAATCACTCAGCACATGTTTCAGGTTGCACGCAATTTCTAAGACGTCTATTTTTTAAGTGTCTGCGTGACAAATTTATCCCCTTAATTACATTTTTGCCAGGAATCTTGACCGTCCCCATTTATAACTTATTAATGAGAACAAACTCAGTCTCTGGTCTTGTTCTTTGTCATATCATAAGCATCTTATATTTTTTCTGTTGCTAAGTTATGCGCCGTACATTGATTGCACGAAAAGAGTATTTGCTTTGTAAATTTGCTAGCTAAAATCCTACTAGACAGAATTAATAAGAAAGATATGTCTGATGTGGAAGAACCATCAAGCTCCCACCATATGTACTTGCCAATAAAATCAATTCAAAAGTTGACACTTACCAGGACAAGGACTAAGATGACACATAGTTCTCTCCTGATCTGATCCAGGGCAGTGAGATCCTGATCCAGATGGCGCTGGATTTGTGCATGTGCGATGTCTTTGTTTACTGCCAGTTCCACACGTGACAGTGCAGTGATTCCATGTGCTCCATTCAGCCCATCCACCATCTACAGAAAAAAATGATTTCTTACGGCAGTTTTAGATTTGAAATCAATAAGATAAAACTTTACCTACGGTTATCAGGGAAAACCCCTTCAAAATTAAACATTTATGGCAGAGGTGAAAACTTGACATTAAATGTTGCACGAAAATATATGCTCTGAATTTGCTTGTTAATGTTACACTCGGAACTTAACCATGATGTGCTGAGATGAATAAATATGGAGATAACGAACAGTATTCAAGGTTAAAAGTTCATTCAAACAATACAAATCAGGAGCAGAGCAAACACGGACCTCTAAAACATCAGAGGTGGGATCAGGTGCCATGGAGGAATGAGCATCCCCTGCTGACCGGTCACACCCGCCATGTGCTCCTTCTCATGATCGGGAAAAACGGAAAAATCCGTCGACAATTCGGTGTATAAATAATGACCTAACAATTAGTATGAAAAACGTCAGTCAGCAATTGACTTAATGATAGATTGTATTTGCTGACAAGGTCATTGTATCAACCATATACTTGCAAAATAATGATTTTAACGAGACTGTTATTTATGTTTCATCAACTTGTTTGTAAATAGCTTGCTTCGTTTTAGAAATTGTTTGTATAGAGCATGCTCTTGCGTATCGAATCAACTGGGAGACATAAACACCATATGCAGGTGATAAGGGTATATTGCTATATAAGAAAGGGGAGTTGACGATTAAAAAGTTGAAGTCATCACGTTTATCATAAAGCTTAGTTGTTAGATTACCTTTAATGCCTTTTCTTGTAAGATATCTAAATATGAAACAGATGTGTCAGACTCTGTGGCATCTTTTATTTCAAGTTCACTGAGATATATCGAGTCGGCATATGAATGGAAGTAACTATTATTAATTGATAATTCGTCGTCGATATATCTAAATGTGGAGTTGAAGGCCACAGCAGGTGTTTTCTTCTTCTCATGTATAAGATTTTGAATAAATTCTGCGTTATGTGAATACAAAAATAGGTCTGCTAATAAAGGGGCGCAATGAGAATTCTGACAGATTGTTGGAAGACTAAAAACTACATAGATATTGCCAATCAGAAACGCAAGCGTCTTTTTAATGTCAACTTCAGAGTACTTGTGTGTACAATAAGAATGTTTTTAACAAAAGAAAGTTTCAAATTACCAATGACAAGGTATGTAAATTTACGAGATCCTTTTTTATTGAAAATACAGCTGCCAATGATGTCAAAAAGCCTGGACTTTAATTTGTCGTGGTGGATGGTTGTATAAACTGTTGAAAATTTATACGTTTTAAATGCTATTGATTTTGGTAAAATTTTGTGATTCCAAATTTTCTAATGGAATTTTTAAGTGTCCAATTTGATTTACACCACCTCTCAAATATATTGTTTTACAGTGCTCCTGAAGTTTCTCTTTCCCTGTTGTTAATATTTTAGTGAGGACTACAGAAAGGCTTGATAGAACATTTATTGAACCCGCTATGTATATTTGTAAGGATTTTTATGAAGTTTAGGAATTCGGTATATAGGTATGGTAATTCAAATTAATTCTGATTGTTGGGAATATTAAAAGTGACATATGATTTTGAAGAATCTCAACCCTAGAAAGGGAACTACATGTATGGGTACCGGTATAAGTTGGATTACCACCTGCAGAATTAAAACCCAGTTCCTTTAAAATACAATAAAAATAATGAGCCTTACAAACAAAGACAATGTTGTTACCTGCTTTGTCAGGTGGTGGGACCAGTACAAACTGATCGTGTAATCTATCTTTTTTCACATAATAATTGAACACAGAAAGATAGATAGTATTCATATTGCCCCTCAATCGCTTAATGGATTTTATCATCCATCTGAAGCATTAAATCCATTCCAGCCAAATACGTTAAAGGATCAGAGCTATTAAATCCATTCCAGCCAAATACGTTAAAGGATCAGAGCTATGCATATGAGGGAGATAGTCCTTAGTTTTGAAATAAATTTCTTAATTTCACCACAGCAATTAAATATAATATATTATATCCATATTTTAAAGCTAGTACCGAATGATTCTGTAGAGACTCTCGGGAACTATCAGTCCACCATCAGAGCCCTCGACCCAGGGGTCATAATGTAAATCTTATACGGTACCAATTTGATGCACCAGATTCGCATTTCGACAAATTTTGTCTCTTCAGTGATGCTCATGCCGAAAGGCTGGAAATCATTTTAAATATATAAATATTTAAATAAAAAACTTTGAAGGAAAGAAGGGTGCCAAGGCGGTGATACAGTATAGTTTACTAGAGTACATGCTATAATTCTTAACTTCAATTTGATATCTTGATTCACTTTGATACTTCGATACTTTGATCCACTATGAAACCTTATTGTAGATTTTTTTTAGATTTAGAACTTGAGTAGCTTTTCATTATCAATGATTTAAATTAGGGATGTCAAATCGGTTAATTTTTGATAATCGGTTACTCGGACTTTCTTCCGATCGAGTACCCGGGTACTCGGTAAAAATGAAAATACAAGCGTGTTAATTTTCTTGTGCCCAGTTAAGCTCTGTTACACCCCAAAGCTGTTTTTATCACGTTTATAACTGTATATAAACAACTAAGTCAAAGGGAACTGATTTTTTGGTACTAAATTTATCAATCAAATAAACACAAAAGACACAATTAATACATCAAAAATTACAATTGGTTTACAGTTCTTGTTAGGATCTATTCCATCAACGCAGGACAAAGGAGGACAATCTGTTACGCGGGTTTGTAATGATTAGACTATAGCGAAAGGGAAGGAACGGACGTTGTTGGGATTGCTAGTCTAATATTATTCCATATGTTGATTGTTTCTCTCGAATACACTAAACTTACCACGTAAACAGACTTTCAACATTTTAATCTTGAGTTATTTCTAAATGTTTCTTGATGTTTGAAGTGGGTGGCGGCATTTCTATGCATGTCCGATTTCGCCGCCGTATATTAATTAAATAATTTAAAAACGATTTGAAGATAAAAGACCATGAAACAATCATTAAAGACATCCAAAAATTAAGGACCACAATAGGTGAGAACAGCTGTGTACCAGGTGATTGGTCACTAATTACTGTATATACACAGCCACAGGCGAAAACAGGTGTAGAAGACGACACGCTAATTACCGTATGCATACTTAGGTTATTTTGTAGTAAGTTTTTGATAAAAAAATATGTACTTTGAAATAAGAAAAAATACACTACAGAGTAACTGAATACCATTTTTAGTATTCGATACTCGGACGTTCGATCGAGTACCCGGTTAACCGGGTACTCGTTGACATCCCTATTTAAATCTTAATGCGTGACTTCATCATTATTTTTTTTCCTTCTAGTAACAAAAATATGCATTTTAAAATGGAATATAATGCAATTAAGGATATGCAACACACCCACGCCTAAAAAATTTCTGTCATTTAATTTTCGCTATTTTTGTATATTTCATGCTTGACTATATATACAATGTGTATGCATTTTGGACAAAATCGTTCGAGTCGTTTTTGGACAGGAATTTCCAAAAGTAAACCACTTTGGCTGTTCACGGGGAGAAGAAATTTTCAACCGCCTAAATATTTTAATGAATATAATTTTTAAAACAAATCATGCAACCAAAAATGTTGGTCTCAGCCAATTTCCACAAGGTGTCATGTATGGTCAATCGATATTTTCGATATGAAGTATTAAATTTTCAGTTATAATTATAAATAAAATTACGACATTTGTGTCGAAGTGGAAGGACATTTTCTGTTGAGTCATTTTTTGATTGAAATAAATAATATACATAAGTTACGTATCATACTTACACTAAGGATCAATAACACGACGTTCTCCTTCGCTGAAGCTTTGCAAAAACTTTGCCTCTGTCACATAATTAATGTCATTGGGAAGTAAAGACTATAAACTTACCCACTCCTTTCCGGCATTCACAGTAATGGTTGATGCAGACCTTTACCTCGCCATGGTGGTGACAGCCGTGATGACAATCAGTGTTTACGAAACAGTCTACAGAATGTAAATTATTAGAATATTAACCAAAAAAAAAAAAAAAAAAAAAAATATGAATTTTAATTTAATTTTCAAATAGAGGATAACAATATATGTTTTACTTTATTATAAATATCAGACTCAGATAAAAATTTAAAAGAATTGTGTAGTTCTATTTTTAGTAACTTTATGTTTTTTCTTGACGAAATTCTACAAAGAGCTAATAAAAACCTTGTAAAATGGTACTGGTCTGAAGCATGACCACTTAGCTTACAAAATGAGCTTATTACTGTTTGAAATTGATATTGTCCGTCCTCTTTGATCTCTAAACTTTATTTATGGTATTTTAGGAACCTTCGAAAATTCTGGTTAATTATGTTCAACTATCTCTGGGAGGGAGTATATAGTTACATTACATTCAAATGTCGAAAAAAAGTTAATGAAAGCATTTACATTGCATATTTTACGGTTTACATGTAGACAGAATTATCGTTAACGAGTATAAAACGATTGGAATATTTTTATATAATTCTAAAGGAGACCTTAAAGAATCACTATCTAGTTTGTTAGGCATGCCAGGGCATCAACGACAGTTGGAAACATGGGATAATTTATGCATAGCAGGCTTCGCAAATTATCCCTCGTTTACAGCTGTCGTTGATGCCCTTGCATACACAACAAACTAGACCTTGATTCCTTTTACATGTATTACATTCAAACGTGAAATTAAACTATAAATATAAATAAAAAAAATGATATCTAATAGATTTTTTAAAAAAAATTTAAAGAAAATTTAATATGTTCACAAAACTACCTTTGTGAGTAAAGAATGCTCTTAAGAAACATATTCCAAAAATAAATCTACAGAATAAAGCCAAAGCAAGTATTTCACAGCTCTGCTTCAACTTTCACGGATATTTTGAACAAATTGAGGGTAAAAAATCTAAATTCTTCTACAATATCTTGTTACCCAAAACACAAAAAAACCTTAAATGGAAAGATTTTGGTCTGAGCTACTCTGTATTGACGACTTCCACTTATGGGAAAATATCTACCAGGAAAAAGTCAAAGAAATATTTGATAAGAATGTGTCAGAGTTTAACTTTAAATTGATGCATAACTTACTGAGTTGTTACAAGTATGTAAGTAAATGGAAAAAAGACTTAGATAAAAACTGTTCGATTTGTAATGCAGAAGAAGACATGAAGCACCTTATTTTTGATTGCCGTGTAGTAAAACCTATTTGGAGTAAAATATCATTGTTTCTAAATATAGATGTGTCATGGAAAGTTATTGTCATTGGTTTTCCAGCATATTGTAACAAAAGTACCTCTATTTTAATATATTGTCTTTCATTGCCTACAAAATATATAAATATAAAATGAAATGCAGACTTTTAGATGAGAGTGTTACTAATTATAATGAGAGTTTAATTTGTTTCTTAAAAAATGCACTCACTCAGTTTTATTTCACAACAAAATTAGCAGAAAGTATTGCATGTGATTTCAAAATCTTCAAAGAGTTGTCTGAAAAATTGTGATATTTTTTATCTATCCAAAGGTGGCCTGGCCTTTGGAGTATACAATCGTAGGGGGGAATTGTGGACTCTATGCGTTGTGGCTTATTGCCCCTTACGACTATCTCTTGTGAAATTGCTATAGTTTTTCTTTTCTTATATATAACGCTAAATATTTATGAATATTCTTTAAAGAAATGTGCTATTATCTATACACATAGTTGTGTATTTTTCCTATCGTTTTATCTTATTGAAGTGCATTTTAACACATATTTATTAATTTTGATATGATATAAAATTCTCAAAATATATGTACACTTAGTTATATCATATATCAAATTTTTCCTATCGTTTTATCTTATTGAAGTGCATTTTAATACATATTTATTAATTTTGATATGATATAAAATTCTCAAAATATATGTACACTTAGTTATATCATGTATCAAATTTTTCTATCTGATCCAGGGAGCTCCTGGCACCCCAGGAGATGATATATTTGTGAGGGCCTTTGAGGAGGCATTACCTTTACCTTTTTTTAAAAAAGATTATTGCAATAAAGAATTGAAAAAAAAATTTAAAATGCACGAGGCATTCCATGATCATTTTCATAGTACCCGCCCACTGACGTAAGACACAAAGATAGCCGCGAGAAATTGACATGCATTTTAGGCACTCGACCTTTCACTTGGCGAAATTAACATTCAGTTGAAACTATCTAGAAATCAACACACCTTACTTTCAGAGAGTTATTAGAGAGAAAACAGTTGGAAATGTAAATATACACTAAACTATTTCACTGAAAATAAAATAAAAAATTTAAAACCCCAGAAATCTATTAGATTTATAAGGAAAAAACAGATCTATCTTGACCACTAAAGGGATAAAGCTCTAAAGATTTTACAAAATTGCGTCTAAGTGGAACATTGTTTTTTCTTTTCCCAGAAAGAATGTTATAGTACACTATAACCAGGACATCTCTTTGAAACAGGAAAGATTAAATAGTGTCTAGCACCCACACCTATCCCCCCCCCCCCAAATAAATTTATGATTCACTTTGGATGTTTTTAATTGTCAAAAATACCAAATTGCTGGAAACACAAAATATTTAAAATTATTTTTTGCTAGAGTATTCATTTATTAGCTAATTATAGAAAAAAACTCACCTCCGCATTCACAGTGCCCGTGGTGTGAACAGAATGGGTGTTCTGATCTGCTATGGCAATGGTGGGAAACACAGTTGCTATCGGTAGTACATGCAGTTCTGGGTAATCTTCTTACTTTAAATTTACACGTCAGTAAATTTCATGCGAATGCTTTTAATAAATTGGGGACAGTAAAATGTTATCCATCATACAATTATTTTCTAATTTGACAATATACGAAACAATTAATTTTGGAAATCCATAATATAAGGAATAAATGCACGTTATTTAGTATGATGTCAGATTAGCTTAATTTTTAATATTTAAAGAAATGAAGTTAAAAAAATTTAAAAATTAGACATTGAAAAATAAAAAAATCATATCTATAATTCTAATATTGAAAAAAATACTAATATCGTATGTGTAATATTTAAAAAGAAATAAGAAATATTTTGATTTATCAATAATGTCATGACTATAGATTATGAAAAATAAACGAAAAAGAATGGCCTAAAGACCCGAATTTAATGTAGTACTTACATATTGAATGTTGGATGTAATGTTGTCCTACATTCTGGCAGTCTCCCATGGTTTCTAAACCTAACATTAATATCAGTTTCATATGTATGTATATGTATTGTAATTAAAGTATTGAATTTTAAAAACATTAATTTACTTCACACTTACAAAGAATGGAAAATGCATATAAAGTCCAATGTCGGACCATTTTCATGGCAATGCCAGTCCTTGCACTATTACACTTAGATCTGATGTGTTATCTTTGAATGCACCGAATATAAAAACAAGACGATTTACAAGGCCTAGTTTGTAAAAATAAATCTGCAATATCTAATGTGTTTAATATGTGTGCGATTATGGTTATGATTTGTAAACTTATTTCTCTCACAAAGGGATTCTTTCTTGGTTACAGTTTACTTTCGTTTACGTACGTAATGGTCGAAGAAATTCTTTTTGTTTTCTGTAATTGTTCTATTCATGTTTGAAAATAGTTTATCCTCACCCATCTGAAAATTTGACCAATTTGAAAGGTGAATAAAAATGGATGTAATATTATGAATGTTCGAGTTTTGGTACTCTATAGAGTATCGGGGGGGGGGGGGGGATCAAAGCAATGAATTTAAAGCTTGTTAAAAGATTAAAAACAGTCAATAAAAGAAAAATGAAGATTTTGTAGCCAACATAAGTAGATAAATCTGATGAGAAAGAGATCCTCATGGTTCCCTAAATTGGTATCTTTTATTTTAATCATAAAAAATTAACCGCCAATGTTCTTGTTTTGGGACTATTATTTATAATTGACCTTTGATTTTAATTTCAAGAAAGATTGACATAACAAGTCTAACTATTAATAATACATTTAATGTTTTGATCTAGTTTTCGATTTGCAAGATGGAAGTATTTTTTTAATGTGATGATATGCTACATGTACATTATGTCTTCTAGTTTAAAAATTATACAGAAGAGGTGGGACAGTCATATGATTTAATTAAGAGAGGTGTTTTTTTGTAATTACTTGAAAATTTACATTAAACAAAAATTACGGTTATATCCATGTTTTTTAACGAAATACTTATTTCAAAGATACAAATTATTCGCCAAGTTAATATGTTTTAATCTACAGATAGGAAATAATACATGGCAAAATATGTATTACATGATATAAGGTAAGACATATATTTTTAACATGAACATGAATTGTTATTGTTTTTTATATAGGTAACACAATGAAATTGTGATCTTTTCGTTTCTATATTACGAAGTTCTGTATTTGATATATAACTTCACCTTTCTCAACTCACTCTTCTGATGACTGAAGTAATTCTTTCCTATGTTCTACACTTAATCGACGTTTTGGAGTCAACTACACAGCCTCGTGCCTTTTGTTCGAAAAAATACTCAGTAGAACTACAGTGCTTTTTTATGGTTGATAGACACAGTACCGTAGTTGTTAATTTTATGTCCAGAATGCTGCTGAGATAGATTGGTGGATTCCCTGTGTGATTGTTAAAATCGACTTCCTCATGGTGTGGTTTATCTTGAAATTGGTCTTTTATACAAGCTTCTTCATATATCGATGTTTTTTCTATTTCTTAGCATGACTGTACCTACAGGTTGCGACACGTACTACGCATCCACAGCTAGTCGGCCTTCTTTTAATGCTTATAGAGAAAAGTGAGTCTTCAGTAAATTTTTCACTTGTACAGTATATACTTTGCCACTGGGCATCTAGGGTTATCTTTAAGATTTTGGATTTTTGATTATTTCAAATGACTTACAAATTTTATATTTGAAAGGCTTTAAAAAACCCAAAATAAGACACTCCATGTCAAATATGCAACTCCGCCACTGGAATATCGTAACGGTCAAGGTTGTCACTCTAGCTCTGTAACAATTGTTTGCGATGTGCATTTCATAAGATTTTCGGTAGAATTTTCTGATTCTATCAATTCATCCAGGTTTACGATTTTTTCGACACTAAAGATTCCATAGATGTCACCCCCTCCTCCATATCTCACTCTCTTGTTGATTGTGTCTATACTGTATGCCTTTGAAACAGTCCCCTAAATGGACGTTTAAGAATAAATGTACTTGTGACATTCTATTTAGACTATTTAATCGCTAATAGAATGATCTACATTGATATAATTTTTGTTCTCTTTATCTTTGTCTTGAATAACACCAACTCGTGCTTGTTGTCTTATCGATGTCAAGGTAACATACAACAGAAAAAGGCGAGGTAATCCGATTGGTCTCGGCGGAGGAAAATGTACAGGGAAACCGTATTATTATTAAAATAAAATTAATGTATAGCTTGTTTTTGTGAAAACAATTACTAGTTACAAGTACTAAAACTATATATATGATTCAATTTAATTTGTAATTTCTAAGGTAATCACATTGTCTACACAAAACTAATAGAATTTCAAGGAAACTTTATCATCTATATAAGAATTTTTTTAAAATTCTTTTAAAGTTTCATTCGTATTGTTTTTATGCATTTTAGAGAGAATCTTAAATAGATGCTAAAGATTGTCATTCTTTACGACCTTAATAAAACATAAATTTAATGTATAATTTCCGATAATACATGTACTTTGGAGTACCTGCAGGTGACACGAGTTCCTACAATACTCTAGTTTCCTATTAATTCTCAAATTCAATTTTACATTTAATAGTTCCATAAACTACAAAGGAATTTATTACCATTATTCCACCACTTTGTTTAACGTATTTGTGAGAAATTCCGGCTCATGCTTTGGTATTGGACTTCGCCTTGATGAGATTTTTTTTTACCAAGTAGTAATGAATTACTTTGGGGATTCACCCTATGCATGGAATATAGCAATAGGTCATTAATCGAAATATAGTCGTAATTTCTGTTGGACATTTTACTTACGTACTGTAGAATCAGCCCAAACTCATGAAATTGAGAAAATGATATTAAAAATTCAACAATATCACAAAGTATGCATCCAAATTATTGTATTTCCTAAATTTCATTCAATTTAGAGGATTGGGAGTGGATCTTTTTATATATTGTAGTTGCGCGAACAAGAATTCATGTAACGTTGGACACGGGAATTTCGCCGTATTAACCAATAATGAATAGAGCCAAATCATAACTAAAATATTTTTAGATTATTAAAAAGAGATTTTTTAGAATAATTTATTACCTTGGATAAAATAATTTCATTTTTAATTTCTAGTAACTATAACATCTTGAAAACTCCAGTTTCTTTACGACATCTAAAGAGTCAGATTTTATAGTACCAACACCGTTTGCAACGTCAATGCAATTCTGCATTTTTTCAATTATTATTTCTATTATATTTGTCATGCAACAAGGGCAAATGTACAATATTCATAATTGAAAGTTAATTAAGGAAACGGATTAATATAAGTTGTAACAACTTGTTTCCGAATCCTGTATGTCATTATTTATTGTGAACATATGATGACTTATTAAATGAAATAAAGTTTAATGAAAAATTACACAGTTCAACAATTTAAAAAAAAACAATTTTTAAAAAAAAAAAAGTTTTTTTCTGATTTAATTAAAATTGACGATGCACATCTTTAATGGATACTACAGATTACAGATACCTGTATATACAGTAGAAAAGAAAAAAAATGAAAAATAGCAATAATTTTTTTTTTAATTTAATCCAAAAAAGGAGGTGTCTATCTTAAATGTGCCTGAAACCACTGAAAAGATTTCATTTTTGAAAAGTGTTGAAGTTACAGATTACAGAAAACAATGCCTTATCCATACCAATAAGCGTGAAAAAGTATTTTAAACAATAGCAAAATAGCATTTTTTCCAAAAAAAAAAAAAAAAAAAAAAAAAAATTAAACCTGGATTAGAACTGCACATCTTCAGTGTCATTCTCTATCCAGAGTTGTCGTTCCCGCTACGCTCCCACATACACCTCTGTCAACGCTTGTTATACAAGATTTTTGGAAAAATTGTAAATGGTTAAAAGTTGTATTAATAATCGTTTTCAATGATATTTCTTATCGGAAAACATTATTTATTTTAATTTATCACACCTTTAAAGGATTTTTTAATTAAGATTTTATTTTTTATTCCGCAAAATAGTTCCCTAAAAACTTTGAAAATATATCGTTTTGAGGGATTATAGATTTAAAATAAATGATAAATTATCATCTTTGTCAATAATTACAATAATTAATTACTATTTAAATTCCAAATTTTCACCGTTTAAAATTTGTACAAGAATCTTGTACAACGAGCGTTAACAGAGGCTGAAGACACTCTGGATAGAGAATGCTTCAGTGTGTGTATCATACATTATACACAAAGGAGGTAAAACCGTGACGGCCACTACCGATGGACATGTACTAGCGACGCAAGTTAAAAAACCAATGTACATTACAACGACATTAAACGAAATTTGAAAAGAAAAATAATCTGATATCAGTCAACGAGTTACCGAAAATTGTTATTTTGAATTATTGTGTTTTGGAGTATTAATTATTTCTTATCATTCTTTTCTTTAATTTGCATATGGCAGATTATGGCATATTTCAGATTAAACTAGATGAGACTCCAGAACAGGATTTATTTAGATATACACTGTAACCCTGTTTTGCCTGTCCCACATATTTAAATATCCCATTTCAGTTTGAGAACGAGAGGAAATTATCTAGTATTTGAAACATCATGTTCATTGTAGGTTCTATTCTCTTCGTGTAGTCTGGTAAGTATGAAATAATATATACTTATATAAATAAGTACATAACTTAGGCGTTGATATATACATGTAAGTTGAATTGATTATAAATCACCTTGAATAACATATCCGTATCAAAGGAAAGCAGAAATATTTTCGAACGAATATACTAGACTTAGTCTTGTTCTAGAAGCTTCTATATGGTCTTCTTTCTGTCTGTTATGGTGGCATAGGTCTGTCCTTTCTTGTTTTCTTTAGAATATTTCTACACGCAAGAAAAATTAGGTCAACATGCAGTAGTAATATTTTAACATGCAACATAACTATGCAGACATGCATGAAAAAATGTGATCAGATAAGATTTTAGGAGGAA